GTTGTGTGTGGTGTGTGTTGTGTGTGGGCGCCCTGTGTGTTGTGTATGCTCATGCATATGGTCATGTGTGTTGCTCCCATCGAGTTTTGCCTGCAGGCCACTGTGTTTGACTGGTGTTTAAATGATGCTAATGGGGTGAGTCGCGCCTCCTCCCGCCTGCACCCAGGACACCGCACTGTCCGCAGGGGGGGGCTCACGACAGGGCCTGTATCCCAAAACCTTTCATATGATTTTCAGATAGGGTGACATTGGTGGTTGCAGCCTGAGAGAGAGATGACACCAATTGCAAGTTTGTAGTAGCTGTACGGTGACTTGACAACCCCGGGTGAATGGAGCCGCGCGCTGCGCTTTGACAGCTTGGTTGGTGATTGCATTAAACTGATGCTGCTGGCTGCTCAGAAGCTGTTTGCATTCCTGTTAGCAGAGAGACCACTGGGCGCGCTTTCCACACTGGGATGACCAATGGTCGAAGGTCCTGACGGTCTGCTCTGTCGTTCTCCTCCGACTGCTGCTGGCCTGAGTCTAATGGACACCCAGTTGCAACTGCAGTTACTACACTTGTATTTCCCACTGTCCGGAACCTTTAGCGGATAGATAGACATCCTAAGCAAGAGTTACAGTCAGTAAAGTCAAATGAAAGCTTGTCCTGGGACAGTAGTTGTATATATTGTATTAAGGTGGTGTAGGGTTTCTTGAAATACAGACTGTAACTGAGAAGACCGAGCTTTTGTATGATGTTAACCAGGTCCTTGTCGTTATACCAGGGTGCGAGCTCGCGTGAGTGATCAGGGTGTTGAAGAATAAAAAAGCAGGTTATCATATCTGTTCCCATTAGGGCTGCAAGCATTACATATTATTCTCTCAGGTTGGTTCTGCTGATGTTTGTAATTAAACAAATCGATTGTATTTTGTGTTGTAGTGGAGTATAAGATAAAGGTTCTGCTACGCACACACACACACACAAGCAAGCAGCAAGATACTCACCATATTACAAATGGAGGCGATGTTTCTGACAGTCATTTAGTTCACAGTGTCCCCCTCACCGCCATCTTTATAAAATAAACATGATTTCAGAGCAAGGCGACGCTGAGAAATGAAGGTAATTCGCAGCCGCGGCTGGAGGCCAGACTGCAACCCCGAGCGTCAGAAAGCAGGCAGAGAGACACGGAGCACCATGCGGCCCGCCGGCACGGAGCGGAGGGTCCGACTGCACTCAGCGTCGACACGGCTTCATCCTCGCACACATCCCGAAAACACAACCGCTGGAAACCGTGTATGCATGAGTGGGTAGCGGACGGACCAAGTTGGAGGCAGCAGGTTGTTAGCAACGACCAGGAAACAAGCGTGATGTGTGAGGAAGCGCAGTAGCCCCGCCCACATGAGGTTAACTCCGGATCTGATTGGTTCAGAGCTACTCCTTTTTGATTGACAGGGCTGCAAAGCTTCATACAGACCTTAATGAGAGAGCTGAGCTGAGCTGCAACCAATCAACAGCGAGTGTGTGACACAGTGGTGTGAGGGAGTTGTAGTTCATAGTAGGGATGGCGTTTAAAGAGATTTTGTAGGCTTCTTTTTTTATTACACTAATGAATTTAGTCTATACAGTTCATCAGTGTATAAATAAACTAGCCTATAAAATGTAAGGAAATACCACTCAGCTGTGGTTTGAAAAAAAAACTTGTGGTCTACAAAATTAAAATATATTAAATTCACAATGACGCAGAACAGAGGAAACAGCAGATCCTCCCCAGATGTTACAGCAGCATTTTTGCTTAATAAAAAGCTTAAATGATTAATCATTTGTAAGCAATTATTTATCTGTCAATTGCCAGCAGTAATGCACTGCTAAACAACAAATAGTTTATTAACCGATTCATCCATAAGAACATAAGAAAACAATGGAACAATGAAAGGGATACTTCAGCAATTTAGTGTTTGACCTGCATAAAGATAGAAAACTTACAAGGTAAAGAAAAAAGATTAAAATTGGTAAACCTTGGGTCAAGATTCATGAAACTTTCGTCCCCACAATGCAACTTTGTGTGTTTCATTAGAAAGTATCTTGCCTGATACTCCATGTTGCCACTCCACCACCACCCCTGTGTCAACACATTAAATAGGAGTGGCCCTTTAATCCTTACAGACAAGCCTTAACACTCCATTTAGTTTTGCACGGGGACTTGTCATTCTTGACATTTTGAGGACTAAAGAACTAATCATTTAATTTGCAGTTATTCTACACTCCAACCACCAATTAGCTGACCATAACGAAGAGAGGGACATTAAAAGGTAAGTGTCCTCTCTGTGTAGCTCTGCAGGAGTCCCGGGCCCTCAGGACACTCTCATTCACCACTGGCTTTGTTTGTGCTTTCAGAACAGTCCCCCGGCAATTATCTCCTTAGCATTTACATGTGAACAAAAAGAAAGGAAAACAACAAATAATTATGATTCTTCTTCACTTCAAAGGGAACGGGAAAGGAGAGAGGAATAAGAGTATTCACGGAAAAACAAATAACAGAATTACAGCGCTGCCAGTTGGAGCCGTAGGGGATGGGAGAGTTTCATTGTTGATCAGACGTTTGGTATGCACCGTGAGTTTATTGAGACATTGGTTGATTGACGTGTTCTCATGGGTTTATTTGTGAATACTTTTGACTGACAAGGAAACAATTACATGTGGTGGTAGCTTGTGGGCTCTTACTGCAAACCGTTCCCAGACTTACTTTCTATTTCAGGCCAGTCTGTAATAATAGGATTGAAGGGCAATGAGGATGCAGCTGCCCTTTTCCTGAATCATAGTGCTGTTACTGTCATTATCACTGCTCTGCATATAGATACTGTGCCCAGACTTGTTGAGATAATATCTGTTCTAGCTTTCTTTTCAAGCTGCACAGGTCAGCTTATGTGTTGATACGAGGCTTCAGATGAACAGAGAGGGTGAGTTTTAGCTGTCTCAGCCAGTATGAGGTTGCCTTGTCTTTTGTATCCACAACACATTTATTTCATCAGCCAGCAGATGAACCTCCGAGGACCTTCTCCACCCGCCTCTGCTGAGATCAAAAGTAGGGCTGAATGTTGGGATTTTCATGTGGGTGCACATGTACTACACACAGCCAGACAAACGCACACAGAAAAAACACTCAATGTTTCCAGTAAACGAGGCTGTCTGCACTACTAAAAGCGCTGATGACCTTCCTGTCGTTCAAGCTGCTGCAAAGAGAGACACATGAATTATGCATCCGTTCTGTACTGCCGAGAAAATAATCCTCCAGTTTAGAATCTGTGATTCACTGCAGTTTGGTGACATTTTGCACAGACTGAAACATCAAGGATAGGAACAATCAAGACTGTTTTATAGGATTTTACTGGCAACAGAGAAGCTTTTCTTTAGAGCTGGTGCCGGGAACTCGGCGTGTTGTGATGACTGCAAATACAAAATGACTCAGAACCCAATTCTTAGTTTAACATTTTTAATAATTTAACATTGTTTTTTTTTATCAAGTTGGATTATTTAAAGTCACAAGTGAAAAATTACTGTACAATTTTATTCACTTTTGTTTTGACTGATTTTCAATGCAATACCAAAGTTATTTTACACCAATTTAACTTGGAAAACAAGTACATTTTATAACAAGAATATCCAGCAACAAAAAGAAAAGGCAAGACTAAAAACAAAGAACAGGCAGGTAACCAAGCAGATACAGATATAAGAAAGGCAGTTACCTGGTTACAATAATGTGGTGGATGTTAGTACACAGTAACAATTACATACTGTACCAAACCATCAGCTTCTTGTCAAGTTAGATTGCTCTCTCTGGACATATAAAGCTGTCCCATTGTTCCTTACCTATATCATTTTTTACAGTTCAGTCTTCCCAGGATCTTTTCACATGCAGCTAATTTCATCATTTGCTCCCTCCACATTTTAAGGTAGGAATTAGAC